CTGTAACATGTATTCATCATTCGTGACACTTGTAACTTTCGAACGAACTCAACCTGCTACCGATGGTTCTGATTTCAGTTCATCATTTGAATGATTGCGAAAACGTATTTTAGCTGTCACTCTTATGATTCCCCTCCCCCAAGAAATACCTATAGACGAATTTCTCATATTTGGAAACTGGTCACTTTCATATTTTCTTAAAAATTATGCCCCTTTAAACTTTTAACAACTACTGGATGCATACATTACATTTAACGTTCTCCAAATTACATATAGCATCAAATTTTAAAATATTAATAATATGTATTTTGAATTGTTCCGAAGTATGTGTTTTTATTTTTTATTTTGGACACCATTGTAGTTCCATAGTGAAATAGATGAGCAATCAAAAATTTGATCATTTAATTGTTTAATAGGGTACACTGGGTTTCAAAAGCTAAGCACACAATGCGGATTAGAAGTTTTCGAAAACGTAGTTGAGTCTGAGCGACTGGACATCGCTGCTGATGTAGATGGCAATATGCAAATATCGTGTGTATTATCACGATTGACTGTCCGAATCATCTTTGAAGACGCCAACATTAAAGATTTCAAAAGGTTCATTTAAATACTGATACGAAATATTTATACCTTGCTAGTACAATTTTCGGTGATATTTTTGTTTCTATGGCTGAAAGAAGACGAATATAAAGCGACCTTTACAACTGTTACATCCATGACTGCGCTTAGTAAGACACTTGGGAAGACAGTGATGTGTTCCGAAGGCTTTATATTAAGGGACTGCGCCCGAGAACCTAGTGTTTTTATTTCACTGATCGCCCAATCCAGAATGTCAATATTAAAGTGGAATTTTTAACATCTCAATTGGACTGTTTCAGGTTGGTGCAAGATCCTGCTCACGGAGCATGGTAGATTTGTCCTGGAGTTATGATAAACGTGTAAGGGTTTGGGGACAGCAAGACACGGGAAATCGGTCTAGAACATCGTCGAACATGACGCATTCAGAGGTGTAACAAGACACACGGAATCGGGCATAGAGCGTCGTCGCACTCAGCTGCACATCTTTAAAGAGGGTTCTGTGACGGCTGTAAGATATCGGGATGAAGTCCTACATGGCATTGTGAAACTCTTTGCTGCAGCAGTTAGTCCTGATTTCTTCCGTTTGGATTACTATACTGCCCATCCGCGTCGAGCCACCATGGTTAACGTGTATCTGGAGAACATTTCTCGTATGAGTGGCCGCTATATTTTCCTAGCTTTAATCCCATTGACAATCTTAGTTATGCCCTCGAGCGTGCTTACTCTGCAGATAAACTTCTTTCAGACAGTTGGAAACTACCCTAATTGAGGAATGGGCATTGTTTGCATCTGCGGTGGTTGATCACCTCATTGAAAGCATGGATAATCGCCGCAAAGTTTGCTTTAAGGTCTGGGATAGTCACATACCGTATTAACATAAGTTTTTGCTTGTTTCTTTTTAGCTTTAAACATTCATTTTGAAAAATGTTTCATAACAATTTGTACAAAAGCGTTATTTAATCTAAATCCGATGTTTGCCAGCTGCTTAATATCAGAATATTGCATTTGAAATGAAATGTATGGAAATTGCAAAGAAAAATTATCACATCAGTTTTGCAATAAATCTTTCTTTAATATGGTAACTTCTGTCAGGAAGACAAACTTTGTCTTGATTTCATTCTGAAGGATTATTGATCAAGTCACCAGATTATTGATCAGTTCACTAGATTATTGATCAAATCGTGTCAAATTGCACGCCATTTTTCTGAAAGTGCACTTTTCAGTTCATATAGTTTAGGAGAGCTATCTTGCACCCTGCTGTTGAACGGCCGAAGGAATCTCACACATGCGCACTCAGCTTCAAGTACAGATTAGTAAGCTGGCTCATCTCTTTGAGAGATATCTTTTGTTTTTAAGTATTCTTTACCAGAAATGCTCGATGCCAACGAGCACTTTTATTCACTAAAAAAAAAATTCTGAGCCAACAGTACCCGTAAACAGCTTTACGACGTGGAGTTCCGAGATTTTGGTCACACATATGTGATTGGTTACAGAATCGTCATCAAAGACATGCAACTGTTCGACCATTTTTAATGATTACATCCCAGATTGTTAAACCGCTTCTGTGGAAACTTGTCTTTCATGAACAAGGAAGGGCAGGTGTCTTGTTCTTCACTCTGTCCAGATCAAAGCACGTCCAGAATGTCATTTCTAGCTATATCTGAACTTGTCAGTGCATGGTCCCATTCCTCTCAGCTGTATTGAACTTGAAGACGACATTGCCTTAAAAGGACATCCTTGGATGATGAAGTGAGTGGGACACAAATCAAAAATGGTTTTCTCGCCATAATGTCCATTTTCATGAATCCTTCATGTAAAAGTGGAATGGCTGATTCGAATTTCCCATGAGAGCCTAAAGTTCTAAACCAACGCACGGCTTTTTGCATCACGGTTTCTTAGAGCCGAAAATCATCTTTAGATGCAATCGCGCAGTTAGCTGGCCTTGACTAGGCTGTTTACTAGCTTAAAAATAGGCTCCAAGCTCTTGATATATATTTGAGTGATATTCAAATCTTACGTGACCTCCATTTGTATTTGCTCCCCTCCTTGTAGTCTTATCAATTTACCGCCTTTTTTGTCCGCGTAAAGATGCATCTGAATCAACTAATGAATACTGTTCATTTTAGAAACTACAGTAACTGTAAACAATTCTACAGACCATAATTCCAACATGGGTCCGTTACACAACACGTGTTCTGTCACCTAATTTACAAGTTACATGCGTTAACCTATGCACAGAAGTGCAGTTTTGCATTCATTTGCAGTTAACTAACACTAATAATAACCCCGTTATATTGGTGGAAAACTTTAAGCATTGAACATATCTTTTTGATATTATTCTTTGATTTTGACGTCAGTACATTTTAACAGAAAATATAAAAATCAGTTGAAAGTAAAAATGCTGATTATATTTTATGGGAGTAACCCCCTCACCCATCCAAAAAAAAAAAAAAAATTGTGCTTTCAAATTCAACCAATCATTATCTTTCCTCGTGTGTAAAAGTTAGTTAATACCGGTCTAATTTCGGAAATATTGGTAATTTCACATTATTTTTAAAACTAAGACATTCAATAAATGAAGCTCATTAATGTCAGTCCTTCAAAATTCTGTTTACGTCAGTATTTAAAGAAATAAAGCATGTAACCACCTTTTCCCAATACACTGCGTGTCGTAACTTATTAGGTTAAACTCAGTTTTGCTTACCTAAAATTTATTTAAGCTTTTAAGTCAGAAAGATTAATTTTCATCGCGCCTTCATTTACAATCTGAGAACAAACACTCAATGAATACTGTAGTATCACAAAATAAAACAATTAAAATTTATTATAGTTTTCAAATTGAAATACGAAAAAACCTTAACACAAATTCATTTCCGCTTCTTGTGGGGAATAACAGATAACATGTAAAATCTAATTATGAAAAAAATCATGTAATTCTGATTATCTACAGTTCAGAATTTATCCTCTCTCGATAAATTTCGCGAAGTATGCAACAGCAAAAAGGAAAACGCACCAAATCGGGGATTTCACTCTTTTATGGGGTGCAAGCAGAAGAGTTTCTTTTAGGTTACGAGCGACGTCTAGCCTCCTTTCTTAGATTCTTACTGATTCTTACTGTATTAAAAACTCTTCTTATTTACATATTCTGGTGAAGTAGACGAAACAGAAGGAATATTGAGCTGATTTCAGTGTGAGCAAAAACGTGTATAAATAAAGTAAAAACTTCAACTCTGCGATATGAGAAACGCACTTTTAATTTTGCCGATTGCGCGACTAGAAAAAGGAGGCAGAAAACTATCTTCCTCCCCTTACAAATGTACAGGTATATATTTACATCTTTGTGTATCAAAGGTAGGCAAAGGGATATTGCATGCAAAAACAAGTGAAATGTGTACATTTAAGAATGAATTTTTGAATGATTTTATACATACTTTCTACGTTTTAGAAAACCATGAAAGCGCCAGTGCTGTCAAAAAATGTCCTTCGAAGGATTGTTTTAAAGCGATAGAATATTCTTAGTTTCACTATGCAGCTTCAGTAACTGAATAACTGGTAGAATGGGCTGATCGCATTTACGTTTTTATTCCTCATTTGTAACACAAAGACGCTTAGCTCTAATCTTTCTCTAAATTCACAGCTCATCATGGATTTTGTCAGCAAGTTCCGTAAATTTCAGAAGCCGGAATCTTCATTTATACTAGAGCAAACTAACCTGTGAATAGTGATATGCGAAATAAAATTAAAGTATAACAAAACAATAAAAATATTTATTCAAATTAATAATAATCTGAAACAAATACACACAATACTTACGCAAAATTTTATCGACTTATTGTATTAGAAAACCGGGGAAAAAATTGATGGTACTTTATTGCGGGTCACCTGAATTATTATATTCCACCATAAATAATCTGTGTTCGTATGTTGTAAAGTCGTTAGATATTTTGAAGCCGGAACGTGAAAAATAAGCTATGCCATCACCGAGATTTGAACTTCGGACGTTTCGATTGTCAGCTGAACATGCTTTCCACAAGGCATGCGGTAAGGAAGTGGGAAAAAATCTTATATTCACCTTCACTTAAAGGGCGACTGGGAAGGCCGGGACCCAATAATCAACCCTAATGGGGACGAATTACCGTCCATTACCTTTCGGTTCGGTCGCCTGGTGTAGAATCATGATGATTTTTTTTAAATTTAGAAACATGGAAAATGAGTTACGTCCTTGTAGGAATTCGAATTCCGGGCCTTCAGTCTGCTAGCTGGACGTGCTTTCCAGTTGCTCCACGAAAATACGCTTTAAGGAGGGAGAACACCTTACTGTTTAAAAAAGTAAAACTATTTTTATAGTTTTTTAAGCGACCTAAAAGTGCATAACCGTACATATTATTGTGTCAGTTAAATAATTTTTTTTTTCTTTACAGATTTAAAGACATGTACTGACATTCAGGATGCAGTCAAATAAGTCTATCTCGGATATTGAAGGTAAGTTAAGAGTTTTTTTTAATAAATATCTCATGATACTGAAGGTAGACTAAGATTGTGTGCATCGCCTTAATAATAAAATATAGGCTGGTTTTTCGCAATAAAGTGTTTTGTTGTTCAACTTGTTTATTCTAAGTACAGGGTGGTATAGAAACTTTCCCGATATATGAACTCCAAGCGGCGTATCGATTCAGCCAGTCGAAATGAAATTTCAGATATTGTTATCTCAAGGTATACTCTCGATATTGTAATGATTTGAAACAAAAGAGCCCTTACGGTTGTGGTAACAGTGAAAAGTTTCGGAATTTGCGAGTGGCAGCACCCAATTTTCTCCTACGGAAAAAAACATGAATGGCTTTGGAACGATACACAATATGATGGAAACTGCCGGCATAAAACATTTGCAAAGAAGAAAATTGTAAAGGCTAACAACACAGAGAGAATGTGCATAGACACAGTTTGCGTAGTTCACAGGGGCAGACAGTAGAAGCACCAATTACAGAACACCATGTGCAAAGCATTGTTAGTGAAAAACCTTTAATAAGCAGTATGGGAAGCTTCTTTCTTCAATCAGGTGTCCAAATGTGGTAACAAGATGGCACTCACAGGGAAACGAGGTAAATTGATAAAGCTGTTTTATCTGAACTGGGAAATTTCTGCCGAAGCAGTGCGAGTTTATCGGCGAAGTCATAAGCTAAGACGAAGCAGTAAAAACTGTACGTAATTTGGTAAAAAAAAAAAATTGAAGAAATTGTATGCACATGTGATAGACCACGATTCGGACGATCATGTGTTTCTTTTGAAGTTGCTGCGGAAGTGCATAATACGATTACTGCAGAGCTGTTGCATACTGCAACACTTCAGGTCTGTTGCCCGCAGTCTGAATGTGCCGAAAACATCAGTTTTCAAGCTTCTGCGCTTTGTTCGGATGTTTTCTTATCGATTCCGGCGCGTCCATTTGTCACAACCCGGAGACGAGCAAGAGCATATAGACTTTGCGAATTTTTCCATAAGATATGACGAAGATAGCAGGTGGTCGCTGTGGATATTATGGGCGGATGAGGCTCATTTTTACTGCAAACGTAAACTCCCAGAACTTCATTCACTGGCCTGACGAAAATCATAACGATGTGACACTAGTGCCTTTACACGCAGCTAAAGTGACTGCGCGGTGCGGTATCGCAAGCACATTCGTTCTTGGTCCATACTTCTTTGAAGAGGCTACTTCCACAGGTAAGACAACTTGCTGCATCACGAGTGCTCTGTACACAACAGTTTCAGAATTACGTAATTCGAGAATTGCAGCAACGCAATGTCGCTAATGACATTGTATGGATGCAAGATGGTGCTCCTTCACACGGCGCCACATGTGTTCAGCAAGTTCTGCAACCGCACTTTGGAGATATTATTCATCTCCCATAACTTTGCAGTTTGATTGTGATCCTCCGACCTCACTCCGATGGATTATTGGCTTCTGGGGTCATCTGAAATCTAGGATGTACACACGAAATCCACGAGGTATGCCAGACTTGAAAGATGCTGCGATAAAACGTGAGGTTATACAGATTCCTCTTGCTGTTTTACGTTCTTCATTGTTGTCAACCATCTCCCGCATGCAGTGCGTTATCATCTGCAAAGGTGGGCACGTTGAAAACTTGCAATTCCAAGTTTTTTTTTTTTTTTCACTCTCCTGTCCTGTTATGTGTTGTCATTGGTCCTTTACAATGCTCGTTGCAAATGTTTTGCGCCGCTAGTTTTTATCATATGTGTATCGTTCCAACGCTTTTTAGGGTTTTTTAATGAGCTGATCAATTGCGCAGGAAAGAAATGGGTGTTACTATTCGAAAATTTCGAAATTTTTTCATTGTCGCCGTAACCGTGAGTGCTCAATTGTTTTAAATCATCACAATCTCGAGTGCATACTAAACAGCAATATCTGAAATTTCATTTCTCCGCTCAACCAATAGGATAGACCGCTGAAGGTTCATAAAACAGGGAAGTTTTTTCATGACCACCGTGTATAAAAGATCTGAAATTCCGTATTTCATAATAAACCCAAGTCTGTAATTATTTTTAATGATGAAGGAAGATTTATTTGTCTTCAGAAAAGTTTGTTGTCCATTAATTAATCTTTTTGATAAAAGTTTTCTTCACGTTTAAAAACTTCTGTCATTTCATTTAGTTTTCTTGGATAATAATCTCTGTTTTTTTCTAAAATCCTGAATAGCTGGCTGTCCCAGTTTAGGGTACTTGGCTGGTAATGCCTAATCTGCTTTTAAAGTACTGTATATCATGTCGGCATCCCAACAAAATATCCCATTACAAAATGGCCTAAATAAAAGCCTTGTGAACTGGATGCTGCGAACAATTTTTGAATTTTATTATCTAAATATATGCAGGCGATATAAAAGCCTGCCACGGCTTATGTCGATAATGACATCTTGCTCGCAAATGCGTTAGAAAAAATATAGACGCTCAAATTTTATATTGTACACATATTTTAATATACTGTCTTACTAAATAGGCGTATTTACTAAAATAAGTTTCACAACTGTTTGTCAAGTAGGTTGTCGTAGTTATAACTTTCACATGCAGGTTACCGCGGCATTCAAAAGTTTGGTATGCTCTGGGCTTATGTTCTGAATTATAATTGTTATATAGAAAATATTTTTATTTTTAGATGCTAAAGCTTTATGCGAATTTTGTCGATTGATATAAAAACTCAGTATTCGCCTAAAAAGTTTTTAGAATTGAAACTAGAAGTAGGGTATTTATATATTTAGGCTCATCTGTTAAGGGCTATTGTGTCGCAGGTCATTTTGTCGGGGCTATTTTGGCGTGTCACGTATCGTGTCGTGGGCTGCATAAACTCACAAAACAGATACTTAGCACTTGCTAGCATGATAAATTTGCTAGTTATTTTATCATTATTATTATTTCTTTAAATTCCTACTGATGGCTGTTGATTAATTTAAGCTGAATAAAACAGCATGCAAAACTAGGTTCTGCATTTTTACAACAAAGATAAGGAGAAAATGCTGAAAATATCTAAATAGAAAAATACTGCTCTTCCTCCCGCTCCCCTCCCCCCAAAAAAGGAAAATTGATAGATGCTTTTTTTTTACATTATGTCCTGCCTATCTAGTTCTGTTTTTTAAAGAATGCATTTGATTTTTTATGACATTTCAAATCCAACTGCTTGCTTTCGTACTGGGTAAATTGAAAATTCCTAATATTGAGATGACCTAGATAATTTAAAAATACAAACACTTATTGTCCCTGGAGCTCTTTATTTAAAAGCCTTTAACCACAGCTGCCGTCTCTTCCCAGTTTTCATGACATCTCTCGGTCTCCTGGTAGATCACTGAATTACCTGGTTTTTAATTTTTAGCTTTTACTAAGTAAAATGTTTCCCAGGACTTAATGAAATTTATTGAATCAATGAAACTTTAATTGTGCAAATCCCGTTCCCCACTCCTAGGGGGTTTTAGCATAATTTCTCGTATCAAATTTTCTTTGATCCGAATTGTCTTAATCTACAACTGACATTTATTCAAGCAATATTTAATCTGTTAATATTTGTGTTTAGCTTTGTTTTTCACCAATATATGGTAAGTTATTCAATTTATCCACGCAGTAGTATGTATATTAATTATTGCCCACCAGCGACCGAGCGGTAAAATCGCTGAACACTGGTAGTTCTGACCGCAGTTCGAATCCAGGCGAATGGGCTGGCTGCATGAGCGTTTTCGTGGTTTTTCCTCATGTGCAACGTGTACAAACCAGTTTCCCTCAGAATGTGCCCCACCGAAAGCATCCTTCCCTTTAGGCAGGTAGCTCTAGTGTGCTTGCTTTGCCGTAATAAACTGAACCAAACCAAGCCAAACATTGTTACTTTTATTTTATCATATTAAAAAAAATTTTGATACATAAAAGCTTTCCTTTCCTACTCAAGTTTTTCTTGTTATTGCAAAGTGAAATTAAATGTGCGTGTGAGGTAAATGTGAGTCGATATGGATTTCTTTTGAAATGCTCGAGAAGCTTCCGGAAACTTTTGGTTTTCATATTTCAAGGTTGGCAGCTAAGCTTTAATTCTTATTTTTGAAATGAGGCTGTGTTTAAACTGTGGAAGAATATTTAAAACGGAATGTTTTACAGCTTTTTTTCTTTGGAAGATAAATTGTGTTGTCAAACTCGTCTGTTGTTTGAGTAGTTTTTCTTATCACATTTTCTCTTACTCTGATAAATTGTTGGATGACTTGCTTTCCTTGTACCAAACCAGTTACACACTTGGCCTCTGATTATATAATTTTAAATTCAGTGTGTGATGTTTTACGTTTTTACACTGACGTTATGTCGTTCTTTTCATCGGGAAAAGAGAAAATTTTTCTGAATGCGCTAAAAATATTGGCAGACACCATAGCTGCGGTTAAAAAATTATTAATTGAAAGAAAACCATTGCATCTAAATAAAGAGGAGGGCTATCTGCTCAACGTATTAGTGAAGTGGTATTATTATGCCGTTTCAGAGAGACGTTATTTGATCGGTAAACGGACGAAACGCCTGTCTGCAGCGATTATGTATGACTAAGATATAAATTCTAACATGAGTTTTAAAAAGTGTAAGCAAATTCCTTCAGTTCAGAAAAGCTGAAGACGTTATAAGCTACAGATTTAAAGAAGTTAGAATTTAAAAATAATAGAGATACGATGATTATGTTAAGATATTCAGAATAAATTTTGTTGGGGGAATTATTTTCCGATATATTCGTTGGCAATTCTACGATATTTAGTTCAATCGATGAGCGTGGATATGGGCGAAAAATATTTAAAAAATCATTCCGATGTTAAGTAATCGCAATAATAATAAAAGTCTGCATCGAACTTAAAATCGCATTGTGGTGCGCATGGAACCACCCAACAATCCTGATCAATCCACGGACCGAATTTCGTAACTCTGTCCCTAACCATCTGTCCGCTATGCGATGCACACACAGGCAG